TCTGGATGATATCAGAGAGGTGCATGTGTTTTTGGGTTCTGACCATTTTGCTTTATTTATTAAATTTGAGACTACACCGCTGTCTTTTTCAATGAGAACATGAATAATACATTATATATCAGGTTATAAAAAGATGGTGGGTCATGGTCTAGCTACAAGTTGGTAAACTTTTTTGTTCTCTATACATGTTCATACATAGATCCCTACTGTACTGGCTATTAACTACATCTGAGCTTTACACCATTCAAGTGCCGTATTTTTATCCAGTTAGAACCGAACAATGACCCCATGACAATTATCCAATGTAAGCGAAACGAAACAAACAATGTTCATAAGGATACAGTACCTTTTGAACTATTCAATTTATTATGTATGTGTACATATATTTAGAATAATTGGAGAAACTCAATATATTGATTCCACGTGTTGATTAGTCGTAAAATTCAAAACAAGCAACGAGAGCAAGTAAATATCCGGTAGGTGTTTACTAGAAAAAAAAATAAAAATTCAGGGTAGGAACGTTCCTCTCTCTGACTCCCTTCCAAAGGACGATTTCTTATGAGACAAATATGATATTAGAATCTTGCAAAAGGTGAAAGAAAATATAGACTATAACTAACATGTAACAATTTTTAATAGGATTTATATAACTACAGTCCTTGATGCTCTGCTAGCTTATAGTATTTCCACATTTTTACTTATACAATCTATTTAACGTCACCATAAAATACACACCCACACCAGATGACGTACTATAATATATAATAGTTAAAAGTTTATAGGCTTAGGCCGCTTAGCATTGAAGAAAAGTGAAGGTTGTGCCGTCTATGTGATCACCAAACTCAAAGAAAAGGATTGTATGTCCATATTCAACTTAAATGAGCGATTCACTTTCCTTTGAAAACAAGCACCACGTAAGATTATTTTCATATATATATATAATTTCTTACATGTCAAAGTTCTAGCTGCTTTAAAAACTTGGAAGGTATATATAGGCTAGTGGCCTGATTAGGATTTGATTTTGACATTCAGTATTTTAAGAAATTTGATACTACTTGAATTAATATGTCTTACTTAGGATTATGATGGTATACTTTTTTATGTCATATATTCTCACATTTGGTCACTCAACTTTCAGTTATTTCTTTCTTAAATTAGATATTACTATAAACGATTTTGAAGGCATTGTCAGAACAATAATTAAAAATGAAAATATAAGTATAAAATACAGTGTTACCAGTATACTTTGGCCTTTATTTTTATTTAATAATAAATAACAAAACGATAATCATATAACTGGTAGAATGATTATTCTATATATTATATATGAAATTTATATTATCATTCGATTATATATTATCAAGTATTTTAAAACTAAATATCAAATGTTTGCTAGTGAATTGGTATTTTAAAAAAAATTACAGTAATAATATATTAAAATTTATATATAAATACAGATGCAGATGTATATAAATATAAATGACTAACGGAACGATTCAGAATTATTCTACACAATATGTATAAATATAAATGCTATATTCACTGGTGGTGCAACACCGACCTTGAATGGTGGTCAGGGGAATGATAATTCTTCATTTTAAGGACCCCAACTCCTGGCCCAAACACAGACAGAAAGGCAAAGAGACTGTATTTGCATTTAAAATGACCTCAAATTGTAGCCCCCAAAAAATTATCTTAAATTTACACCCGTCATCCCATGAAAAAAGTCCCAATTGTTGCTGAGTAGCCACTTAAAAAAATATAAATTAACTTAACGTATTTACGGCAATAAAAGAAAATAGTTTAAAAATTTTAAAAAAATTAATCTTATTCATTAAAATTTAGTTTAAACAATCAATAATGGTAAAATTTTATTACATTTTTACAACTTTATATAATAATTATTATATTTAGTAGATGCTTAAATTTAATTTTAAGAATAAAAATAAGAAAACTTTAAACTAGTTTACAAATCAATCTAGCATACATGTGTAATGCTACGTAATTATTGGATTTGTAATTGAAATAAATGAACAATATTAAATTTTGCGTTTGCGCTGTTCCACACGAGCAATGTTCCCCTGCAAAATCTTGGGCATTCGCAGAGGGGTCAATAATAATAATAATCAACATGCGGGGTTCTATTCCGACATCCGCTGTGCCGTCGTTTTCAATCATTATGATTGCTTTCTTGCTCGTCATTCCACATATCATCCATAAAATGCTGCTTTTATTCCACATATCATCCATAAACGTTGTTGAAGTTTATAAAAATGTATTTTATTCATATTTTAATCAATGTAAACATCTTAACTTAGCAAGTTTTTATTGAAAGTTTATAGTAATAAGTGATAGATTAGTAATTTATATATAAATAAATGCATTTATTCATTTACATGTAATGAATAAGTATATTGTTAATATAAAACTTGTATTAAATAAGGATATAAATATTATAACTGTTAGTATATTAGGCTTAACTCAACGAGCTAATCCGTTTAAAATAGTGGAACAGGGAACAAAATTTTACATCCTTTGATTTGTTCAAAATTTAGCCTGCTTTAGTTACCAAAATCCAGGTTAGGTGAATCGACCTATTAATTATTACTATAGCTCACTTTTGAACTGGCATTTGCGGGTTGCCTTATTTTACTTACCATCTTTTTATAATCTTATTTTCGAGGCAACAGAACCGTCTTTATCTTTATACATTATTGAAAGAGCTGTGAGTTCAACCGTATCATTTAAAATGAAAATCTTCTGTTTTTGAGTGTTATGTAAAGGTATTTACATCTTCGAGAAGGGGGTTTAAGTATCTTGAATCGTGAATCCTTGATCACATAATAGTCTTGCACTTAACTCTTCAACGATGCATGGCACCAAGAAGTGTCCCGTTTTCCACTATTGAAGAGGGTTGGGATTTTGCACCTTTGTAACAACTTAGATAGCATGCTTTACCAAGGCTTTTAGTTTGGCTCTGTGGAAATAGCCCATTACAAAGAGGTGACAAAAAACATATGAGCTCCATCACATCCCAGCTGAACTTTTATAAACAAAACCTCATGAACCCAAGGGTCTGAACGATCGAGAAGCCCAATTCACAATAAAGCTCCCTTCGGGCCTGGGCCTTTGCTTTATCGTCAATCACAGTGAAGTTCAGGTTTGTTTGGTGCCCATTAGAAAATTAATTACTTGACGTGGCTAGTGGCTCCATATATTATTTCGATAAGATGTTATTTAAGAGTTAACTAAAAAGTATTTATTATTTATTTATATTTATTAAAAAATTATTTTTTTAAAAAATATGAACTGACTTTGAGACTCAAACTTCTTCTTCTTTTTTTATGGAAAGAGCGACGAAGAATCTCTTTTTAGTTTTTTTTAAGCTAAAAGTTATGATTAAATTTGGTCAATCATTTGATGTATAACTGTCATTGGATTGCTTTTTTTTTTTTATTGTATAATTTTTCTTTATCTCTGCATTGTATTTTAATATATGCAGACACTAATTTTTTAAAAATTACATAAAAGACAAAGACGAACAAATGTTTTATGCACAAAAGCGAAAATAAAAAAATAAATCATGCATTAAAACCTCTCTCTTAATAATGTGAGATAACGTGAAGCATTCTTACAATTTTCTTTTCCATGACTCACTCACAAAAAAAATTCATATATGAAACAAAATATAAATATTTATAGACCAATCCCATTAGATATTAACTGTATAAATTGCATTGAAAAAATTATTTAAAAACTGAACCCCTTTGTAAAATAAATAAATAAGTAAATCTTTTAAATAAAAACGGATTTGAAACTAATTTTATAAATCGATTAAATCCAATTCAAACTAAATCTTTACACACACTCCTAAATATAAAATTAAATGTTTACTTGTATATGTTGTATATTGATATTTTTAATAATTTAAATAATATACAATGTTTTAGTAACTTTACATATATATTATAACATCATACGTTGTACGGATACGAAATATAATTTGAATCATTGTTAGATTTGCAAATAAACTCAAGTTTTGATGTTTTCCTGCAGTTGAAAGTTGACCATAGATATCGATATAGTCCTTCATAATAATAACACACAAAACAATATATATTATAATGGGGAAGCTTATTTACCACGGGAGTGAATTTAGGGCATAGACAACCAAATTTTAATTTAACAAAATTACTTCTAGACGGATAAAAAAAGTTGTGAGTAAAACAATGGAAATGCATAAATTTTGGAATCTCAAACCTGTAATATTCTATAACATTAAATTCCCAATCTTGCTCATACCAGAACCGGATACTTTTATTTCATCCTAAATAAATGATACAAATTGGACAAGATATCATTTTTGGTGTGGTGGCTATGACATAACTTCCGTTGTTTATGGGAATAAAATGACATAAAGTGGGAATGGGAGGGAAAATTCAGAGAGACAAGATTTTAAAATTTCTTTACATTCTATTTATATTTATCTTTTTTATTATATTATTTATATTTATTTTATGCTTGTTGACAACGTATAAGCATATCATTGTTTAATTTTTAAAAAATTTTATTTTTCGTTATATTCTATATCCTTAACTTCAACAGAGGAAGAGAGAGTTCACACAAAATGTGCAGCAGTAACTCCCGAAAACCACCCCCTCTAAAGGGGTATTGCATTTGATCATGTACATGCCGTAAGTTGGGCTATCTCCAAGCGCATGATGAAAGAGCCCACCCTCATGTGATGACATGGCAGTCATCCATTGGCTGGTTTGGTCTCGTCGGGATTCATACCAACACACCAATAAACAATACCAGTCACTCTCACTGCTTTTCTCTTTCTTCTTCTCTCTCTCCCATCTGTGTTTTTCTCTCTGCAGAATTTCGGAAATTTCTCAGCTACCCTATCTCATCTGCTCCTGAAAATTCCACATTCATCACCACCAATGCACGATCTTCCCTGCGAATGCAATTTTGATATTTGATTTGGGAATTTAGAAATGCTGGAAGCAATGGAAAGTTCAGTGAACGGTGGGTTTTCGCAGTTACAGAGCTGCGGAGACAGCAGCGAAGAGGAGTTATCTGTGCTTCCTCGTCACACGAAAGTGGTTGTAACCGGAAACAACCGCACCAAATCTGTCCTCGTTGGTCTCCAAGGCGTCGTTAAGAAAGCCGTTGGGTTAGGTGGCTGGCATTGGCTGGTAATTTTCTCTCCCAACTCCCTTTCCTATTAAAACCACTCTGTCTATTCTCAATTCCTTCCTTTCCATTCTCTGTTACTAATGTCGTTTATTTGCATTATTACGAAGCCAAGTCATTCTTCAAATCAGTCTTTTATGTCGGTCAATTTTTGTATTTACTATTTCTTCTATTTTTTTTTAAATTTTTTCACCGTCCAATTCTTATCAAATTTAATTGCTCTGAAGTCCCTGTTGATTGAAAAAAAAATTATTGTTCTTTTAATTAATTCGAAAGAATTTAATCCATTCTAAACCCTAACGTACTGTGGATTCTTATCCAAATCATTCACTCAGTTATTTTAATTTACAATTTCAAAATGTTGGGTTCTTATTAGTTTGCATTTGTTTCACCTCACAATTCTGAAGCATTGCTTGTGGGTATCTGTTGCATGTCTTTCTTGATTGCTGGATCTGGTGTTTTATGGGATCTTCTACAAGGATCAGTTGTGAATTGGGTCATTTCTTTCTTTTTATTTATTGACGGAAGTAAATTCATTCATCCTTGCTTTGGTTTTGGACTTGGCATTGGTAATTTCATGTCTGAGCTCTGAATTGAGTATTTTACGTTTTTTTCGCATTATTATTCCTTATTTTAAATAAATCATCTTAAATAGAGAATTTTGATGTTTCATTTGGGATTGTTGCATGTTGGCTTCCTGCATATTTTTCACTTTCCGGTGACAAGTCACATGCGTGTTCTGATTATGCATAGTTAAAGCGTGTGCTATCTAATATGGATTTTGTAATTGAATCGCACGCATACGTTTTACTCTCACTTGTGCTTCGCATATGTTTCTTTTTCCCCCAATTGCTCCTATCTCTATTTTTTTTTTGTCATACAAAGCAGAAAGTTTTGGTTATATATATATACATCTTATATGAACATTTCGCATTGAAATCAAGCTAGTCTCAGGGGTTTCTTCTGGGGAATTTGAATATTATTTATGGGCATTTGTTGATATTTTTAAAATTGGATTGGCATTTGTTGAAGGATAGATGATTATTTACCTTGTTCTTGGTATAAACAAATGCAGGTTCTTACAAATGGTATTGAAGTGAAGTTACAGAGGAATGCTCTTAGTGTGATTGAAGCACCGACAGGCAATGAGGAAGATGATGACCTTGAATTTGAAAATATGCAGTGGAATGGATCGGATATGGGTGAGTTTACGATTAACAGTTTTAAACTGTCTTTGCATTCTGACTAACTAGTACGGATTTTGTGATTCAAATATCGTGTCTTGCATGCTGGCTGGTACTGTTGTGGTGTGTGCACCCAAACTGAAAGTAGGCATATATAGGAATGCTGTGATATTTTGGTAGTTAATTAATTGTTTTGGCTTCCATGTCCGTGGATTTGCATAGCGGTAGAAGTTGGTAACATTGGATCCGTTGTGGCTTCTCCTTTTACCTTTGCTATCCCTAGTTCTAGTGTCTTATTTCTTTAATTTTTGTTGACCCCACCACTAATTTTTTTAATTATGTGTTCTGCTCTGTTTGATTTCTCAGCATCGGACGACACACATAAGTCCCATAAATCGAGGCACAGAATGCATAGATCGTTGGGATCATCTCACAAGTCCATGAGTAGGTCCTTCTCTGGCGATTCACAGTCTAAGGGGTCCGTTTCTATGTCTCATGGGGCCAGGGTATATTATCAACTTTTTTTTTTTGTTCATAATTTTCCCCCCACCCACTGACATAGTAGATGGTTTATTTCTTAATATTTTAATTATTATTGTTGTGTTTAAATATTTTCTGTAGAAGATCGACTTGAGCAAGCTTGAAGTGGCTGCACTGTGGAGATATTGGCGACATTTTAATCTAGTAAATTTCTCAAACTAACTGTTTGGTTCTGATCTGTCTCCCAAAAGATGGTTATGGCAGTGTGTGAACGTGTTCATTGTACTTCTTGAAACTGATTTGTAGGTGGATGCGGTCCCAAACCCATCAAAAGAGCAGCTAGTAGACGTTGTTCAGAGGCATTTTATGTCGCAGGTATCTAAAAATTAATGATTTCATATTTGTCTGTCTTAAATTAAATTGTAATCGTTAAAATATTTTTATCTTTCGTAAAAGAGGTTTTTGTAGTGGTGGAACATATTAGATTCGAATCTCTCCTGCGCAGTAAACTAATCTCAATTATTAAAAGATACCAAAACCATTTTTTCTAATATTTAAAATATTTATTTGATATCTCATATTTTAAAGGTTAAAATTGATATCAAATAAAAAATTTAGTTTAGTCTTTTTTGAATAGATTTTAATGCTTTATTTCTTAAATATACAATAATTTGAATAATGTCAACTTAGTAATTAATTTTAAATAATATTAGAATAATAGTAGAATTCGTACAAGTCCAAACCATGGGTTAAAAACCGAGTTTCGATTTTTATACACCTATGCAATACCTAAACCTGGCGGTCGCCTCACTTTTTCTATTTCTTTATCCAATTGCATTATTTATCACTTTTTTCATTTTTTTATTCTTCTTATCTATCATTAGTTGTACACCTGTAGTGTGTATACCAAGCTTTTCTCATCATATTTACCCTGCCATGGTTCCTAGCAAGTGATGTGTTGATGGTGCAAGCACGCCATTAAAATCTACCAAAAGAATAAGGCATTGCTTTTAAATGTATGTTGTTTTGTGTATATGCTCAAGTGTTTCGGGAAGCTTGATGAAGAACTTGAGCAATAATTTGGCTCTGAAATTGTGTTTCTTTCTTGTGAAGCAAATGGACGAGTTGCAGGTCATTGTGGGATTTGTCCACGCTGCAAAGAGGCTTAAGACTGTATGCAAATGAGGTGGAATGATCCGCAAAATGATTTAAGTTATGTTGTCTATGCTAACAAAGATAATGTATCTAATATCCACTTCCCTTCGTACAATGTAACATATTTATCAGTGACTTGTGACTGTAGTAGGTTAGTTGTTTGAGGTCATAGAGGTTCTTACTTTTTTGCAGTCACCCAGTTATGTAGATATATGTGACCTTGGAACTGGATCGTTAGGAAAGTCTCATCGCCTTTCGTTTCAGCTTGATTTAGTGTGTTGCTGACCCGGGGAAGTGGGTTTCAGAGATCTTAATGTGTATATATATATATATATATATTCTAGTTTCTTCCAACTTTGATTCATTTAGATGAATTGTTGTGTTCTACTGATCCGGTGGAGTGATGGACTGGTGCCACTACTATTCTGCCATTCTGCTACCGTATTAAAGTCCATGAAATGATTATTGAATATAGCTTGCACGAAAGAGATCGTTGAAAAGACTCGGGGATCATGTTTCTGAACACGTTTGCCTCTTTGCAATTGGACAGTCACTCGTCTCAAAGAACAAATGAAGAAGCAATAATTTGTTGTAAACTGATAACCTTACACTATTCAAGATAAGTGTAATAAAATGATTTTTTATACGATTATTTGAATAATTTTATGATAGAATGTAGCAAAGTTCTGTTTCATTGTTTTAAAAGCGAAGAAAATGACAATTAATTTCAAAAAAATAAATAGTTTCATTTCATACTATTCAGAATGTATTCAAGAAAAATAGATAATAGAACGATAAAATAAATTATGTTTAATTAAGTTTCAATTTCTTTCATACTATTAAAACTAATTCGAGTAATAATAATTAACGTCCACTTTATTGCAGTATATTCTATACAATTTCTTCTCCTTGAAGCTCAACATCTTCAAAAAACATTTATTCTCCCAAGGTTCCAAAACCATTTGATTTTCTGGTCTTAAAAACACTGTATTTCATTAGAATATTGATTTTCATTATTATTTTAATATCCTATAATAATCAACATACAATAAAAGTTTTAAAATAATATTTATTTTCAAATAATTCATTGATCTTGATATTTAAAGTTAAATTTAAATATCTGAAAATAAAAATTTCTCCAAAAAATATGATTTTTTTTATATTTTTATCATAGTAAATGTTATATTCTTATTATAATAAATATATCTCTTTTAATTAATTTTTTAAAATTATTTAATTTAAATATAAAAGAAATAAAGTTTATTTTATTAAAACATTTTCCCTTTTTTAATTCATATATTAAAAATTTTCCCTACTGCTGCTGTTAGTATCATTATAAATTATAATATAAGTTTCAACATCAAATCAAATTGACAGCTTTGCTATTATAACAGAGGGGGGAAAAGGACAATTCAGTACTGCAACTTTACTAACTGCTAAGCGTCTGACTCGTCGTACAATTTTAAACTCAAAACTTTCAAAATACGGTGGAAAAAGAGCCGTTACAATATTGAAATGAAAAGTATGCATAAATCAACGGTTTTGATAATCAATTTAAAGTTTTTTTTATAACACATACAGGATTTAAATGTAATTTTTTGCCCATATAATTTTATAAAATTCTAATTCTAATTGTTTTTCAATTCTTAATTCTTCTAAATTTAACACAAATCTAGATAATGATAAATTTCAACAAAAAAACGCAATATAATAAACAAATAGGTGACACCATCTTTTTTAATTACATTATGATTAAAGACTCAAAATTATAATCTAAAGAAATCATGAATTAAAATATTTTTATGACTAAAATAATTTTTATAAATATATTTAATATAAATAAAACATATATTGTAATTTGAAATTTTTAAAAAATTAATGAAAAGATAATTATAATATAACTTTTTTTATCATCAATCATGAATTTATTATATTAATAGAATTATTATTATAATAATAATTATTTTGAAAATATATTTATTGTATATTATAATTATAAAAATAAAAAATATACTAATAATCTATCAAAATTAAATTCTTATTGGTTATATAATTACTATTTTAGATAGTTCTATAATATTACATGTACTTTAGAATTTGATTTTATATTTGAAAGTATGTACTACTAATAATATAATCTTATTGAATTGTTTGAAAACAATACTTTTAAGTTACGTAATTTTAAAAAATAATTCTATATATTTAAAAATATCATAACATTTTTATCGGAATCCTTTCTATATTTTTACATAAATATCGTAGAAAGATATAGCATTATGGATTAAGGAAGTTGTAGATTAATTGGCATTTGTTTAAGTATTTGAGAATCTAGTTATATTTATGTTATAAATTCACCGAGTCACCCTCGAACATTTGTATCGGCGATTAATAGTTCTAAAAAAATATCACTCAATTTCAGTATAATAGCATTGTCGAACGGAATCTTCTGTCCATAGTTTCTGATGATATTTCATTTTCTAAACTTCATTCTTCGAAAGAAAAATAATAATTACAAAATTTGAAGCGTTTTCTCTAAGGCTATTGACAAAAAAGAGTGGATCAAAAGCTGAGAAGGATCGAAATGAATATCCTGAGAAAAGGGTAAACTAAGCAAGAATTAGCAGCATAGAAAGATAAAGATGGAATGGAAATAAAAAGAGAAAGCTATGAAATATGATTTTATTTTCGTGGTTTGTGGGCGAGGATGAGTGATACATCATTTTCAGACACGGACTGCAGCAGTTTTTTTTATTGTTTAAATGAAATTGTTTGTTTAAGCAAATTTTAATAAAAAGTAATTTTAATTTAAGCTTAAAAAGAATTTATTTAAGTTAATTTAACTTAAGTCATAAAAATTTGTTTAAATAAATTTAAAAAGAGTAGTAAAAAAAATTTTAAAAAAAAGTTAAAAGAGAGACAAAAACAATAGTACAAGAGAGAGGAAGAGAGAGGGGAAGGAGATTATTAGGAGAAGAAAAAAGACTAAATGAAAAAATAAAGGGAAACAGATGAGTGGAGATAAAGAGGAAGAGAGGAGAAGAAAAGAGAAAAAAGACTAGGTGACGCTGAAAGAAAAAAAAGAAAAAAAGAAAAAAAAGAAAGAGACTGAATGAAAAAAAAAGAAAAAGAGAATAACTAAATTAGAAAAAAAGAAAGGAGAGAGAATTGAAATAATAGAGGAGAAAGAAATATATATATTTTTTTGGGTATTTTTACTTAATTTGTTTAAATAAAAATATGTAAAAAATAAATAAAATACTACAGCAAATTTTTTTAATTTAAATAAAAAAAATTGTTTAAACAAACGAGAAACTACATTTACAGTTCCAGGTCCATCATTTTCATTCTTTCAAAATAATAAGATATCCATCGACAGTCATCATCACCGAGTGAGTCAAAATCAGGGGATTTTAGGATCAAAACGGGACCCATCCACACATGCGACGACAATATGCCATGCATTTGTTTGAACCTTAGTGGCCTCAACTCTTTCCAGTCTCCCCACACACTGTCAGAACAAAAATCTCAACTTCGTTTAATCTCATTCCCTCTTCCATCACACACAGGTTTCTTCAAAGTATCCAAATATACATTATAACAAAAACATATATCATTTTATTTCATGATAACATTCTACTACAATTTCTTAACTTTATCATATAATATCGTATTAATTAGTAAATTTACCGACTCATTAAATATTTAAATCGTAAAAAAATAGATTCACAGAAATTTTAAACTACCATATGTGAATTCACTCAACAATTATACATAATTAACCTATATGATGAGACAATGTCAACATACTTTAAAAAAAATAGTATAATATTTAATTTATTAATTTATTACTTGTATTAATTTTTTTTGAAAGTACTAACTATAAAGTAGTAATACTTAAATAGTATATTTTCTTTTCAATGATCTTTTAAATGATTATTTTTATTCTTATTTAAAAAAAATATTGAATCAACGTACAAACTATGTCATATCTATCAAAATCAGATTGAATTAACTAATTTGACTGGTTCACTCGAAAACTAGTTAGATAATCGGCTGAATCAGTTTAAAAAAGCAATTAAAAATGGGTCAAATTGATAAATAATTAGTCAAAATCAGTTAAAATTGAAAAAAATAAGTGTTAAAAATAACTTTAAACCGGCAAGTTTAAAAAAATGAATAAAGACTCATACATGATATTTATACATAATTTTGTTATTATTTATCTATTTATTGTATTTTTTATCTTGTAAATATATAATATAATTATTGTATGATATTTTAAGTATTTGATTAATTTAAATTTTTACAATATTATATTAATTTATTATTATATATTACATATAATACTAAAATAAATTACTATTGTTGTTATTAGTTTGACTCTAATTCAGGTACAGCTGAAACTAAAAATCTTTAACTAATGTCATTGGGAGTTCAATAACTGAACGATATAAAAAACATGGATGAGTAGCGAGATAATGTTGATGGTTGGTGTTTTCTTCAGATATGGTAGGGTCATGTCCCATAACGAGAATAGTCAAAATATGACAACAAAGTTTTAAAGCAAATTATTACACAAACTACTTTTCCTTTTTTCTTAATTATAAAATAATACTTCAGTTGTCTTAAATGCTTTTTGCTTGATTAGTGCATTTAACCGATACTTAAATCATACCGCATATGGTCCCGTGCCCAAAAGTAAGATAGAACCACCGTTCAACTTCCACAAAATCTCGATATTTAAGCGTAACTAATTAAACATGCTTGCAAACGCCGTTAAGCTTTTGAGGTTTTGGATAAAAATTATTTAATCAGTTATTAAATTTTAAAATTGAACCTTTCAATGTTATATTTTCTTTAAAAATATATTAACTAACTTATTTATAATTATTACTTTTTTCAATATTATATTTTATAAATAAAAAAGTATATAATTATTATATTGAAGTTATAAAAATATAATAAATATTTTTAATAAATTTTTACTATTATTAGTTGCTTATCCTTAATTTTAAAGACTGAAATTTAAAAAAAATTATAAAATATTAACTGATAAATTATTAATAAAAGTTGATAAATACACGAGTACCACCGTTAAGATGTTACAATATATATGACAAACATGCATATGACGTATATTTTCACAAAGAATTTGGTGAGTTGACATAATTAATTGACAATAAATGAAAGCATTTTTATAGAAATTAAACATGCAATTTAATTTGTATATTTAAGACTCCCTATCGGTGGAACGCTCGTGCATTAGTACATTACCGTCAAATTTTGTTGTGGCTATGTAATTTTGTGTCAACCACTCGCTCCAGTATGAGAGCTCAAAATTTGTTGACTTTGACTAGATTTGTCAATTTTTTCCTTTTGTCAGCAAAATTTAGTTCAACCTCAACCACTGTAAAGATCACTTAGGTGGATTTTGCTTCTTTCAACATTTTTTTTTGTGTCTAAACAACAGAACATCAAACCCTTAACACCTTGTCTAGGTCAACCTCTAAATAAACCCTATCATTATAATTTTCCCCGATTTTTATCT